GCGTGTGCGTGCGCGCGCGTGTGCGTGTGTGTGTGTGTGTGTGCGTGTGCGTGTGCGTGTGCGTGTGCGTGTGCGTGTGCGTGTGCGTGCGTGTGTGTGCTTGTGTGGTGTGTGTGCTTGTGTGGTGTGTGTAGGTGTGTGCGTGTGTCTCCAAGATTGCTGACGGCCCCGGCCGCCTCAGAAATGCTCCTGGACTGCCTCCAACGGCATGGCAATTGTTCCCTTCGGGGTCCCTCGACGATCCAAGACGGCCCCAAAGTGTTCTCAGATGGCACCCACTTGGAAAAACCTCAAAGATGCCGCACGACGGCTACAAAAGGACATCCACGAGAGCACCTACAAGCAAGCATCGTCATATTCCCTGAAGGACACCATCAATTTCTGTATGTTTCCAAGCGCCCCAAGCTGCCCCAGGCCTTCGAAATCCAAGATGGCCCCACGACGGCTCCAGACGGCCCCGGGACTGCTCAAGGGGCGCCCAAGAGGATCTTTTTTAATAAAGGCCCAAAACAGCCTAAGACGACCCCGGGACGGTCCAAGGGGGGCGGCCCCAAGACGGCGCAGGAGGGCCCCCAGAGGCCCCCAAGAGACCCAAACGAGCCCATCGGGGGCTCCCACAATGGCCGCCAAACGGCTTCAAACTGTCTCGAAGAGACGGGGCTGGACGAGAGGCGCGTCGTATACCTCCTTGTCTTCTGGGCAGCGTTGTCATCGGATCGGCGATGCACGATCGAGAATCGATGGGAGCACGGATCGAGAAAGCAGGAGGAGGAGGAGGAGGGGAAGGAAAAAAAGGAGAAGGAGGAGGAGGAAAAGAGGAGGATGAGGGAGGAGGACGAGGAGGAGGAGGAGGAGGAGGAGGAGGAGGAAGAAGAAAAGGAGGAGGAGGAGGAGGAGGAGGAGGAGGAGGAGGACAAGGGAAATCGATCGAATAGTGTCGAAGCTCGAATGGACGGGGGCGGAATGAGGAGATGGTGGGAGCCGGCATGTTTCCCGACATGCGCGGGCGCATGTGGCAGAGTCTGCGCGCGTCCCGACGGCGGCTGAGTTGGCGCACCATGCGTGCCTTGGGCCCCAGTGGCGCCCGGTGAGCGTGGCGCGCCTGGCACGCGTGGCGCACCTCGCCCCAGCGTCGTGCACCTAGCGTCTCTGTTGGTTCCCAGTCGCTGCCCATCCAAAAACACCGCCGAATCTGCTGAGACGAAGGTACTGCCTATGTGTTAAGAGGGACGGTTGGAATGAGCCGACCAATTTGAGTAGGGGAAAGGTGTCTTGACCCCTCCCGCTACCCCTCCAGGGGTCTGGACGGGAGGGGGGGACGGACGGGTTTAAGCGTCCCAGATTGCTCAATCTGGCTCTGAGTGATCCCCAGATGCTGCAATATGGTCTGTAATATGGCCCACGCTGTTACAAGATGGCTTAGATAGCCTCCGACATACCCCCAAGAGGGCCCCAGACCGCCCCAAGACAATTCCACGCGCCCTCCGAGCCGTCTAAAGCACCCCCCCAAGGTGCCACGACCCTTCAAACACCTACGGAAAATCAGCGCTTGTTCGCCTTATCGCCTTTTCGTTTCCGACTGGCTCTTGAAGCTGGCCCTAAGAGGGCCCAAGGAGGCCCCGAGAGCGCCGCGATGGGGGCCTCGACACGCTACTTTTCGGCCTCCGACGGGGGGGACCTGAATTGCAGCTTTCGTCTTTTGTTGGCTAGTGGATCTATGATGTTCCAAGGCAGACCCCACCGACGGCCCCAAAGAGAACCCCGAGAGCCTCCCGAAAGAGCCCTAAGAGTGCCCCAAGCGTGCCCCAAGAGGCCCAACAGGGACCCAACGACGGCCCCCAAATGGCTCCAAGAATCTCCCGGGGACCTCTCATAACAACATACCCGCAAAAGGCCGCCTCCTCAGCATACCTTTCCCGCGTCCTCGACACGCTTCTACAACGGCCGTTCCTCTGTATACTCTGGTGGGGACACTTTTCCATTTGCGAGCGTCGCGGTCCAATCGCGCGCCGTCCAGAGAAGAAGCGTCCGCGCCAAGCTCTAACTACGGCCTAAGAGGGAGCCCAAAACGACCGGAGCGCGCTACGCAGTCACTGAGGCGGCGGAGGCGACGGAGTAGCCCGGGAAGTCCGCGCCAGGCCGGCGAGGTCCAGGAAGACGGCCTCGATGCAATAGTGACTGAATTGGGACGCGTCGGAATCATATGCTAAGCGTGACAATTAATTGTGTCTGTGTGTTTTTGTTCCCTCCTGATAGACCCAAAACAGCCGTCGTGCATGTGCTCGCCAACCACAGCGAAGCGAAACGGGCGAAGGCCGAAACGGAAGTCGTCGCCAGCCGTCTCTCGCGTGTGGGGTGGAGGCCAGCGTAGGCGGTCGCCGGACCCGTTGCCCAGGGGGGCGTCCACCAGACTCCGGTGGGGATACGCGAAGCGCCAAGAATCCCGAGGAGCGCCCAGCCGTGGCGACGGGTGCTTTCCAGGACGAGCAGCGGCATCGGTGTTTTTTCCTCCTCTGCAGGCGCACCTCTCTGGCCGGGCGGGGTGTGGGATAGCATGAAGTCGGGCCTGTCCCCCTACAGGGGGATGTTCGACGATTGTTTTTTTATAATCAAAAAATAGTCAAATAATAGTCTGGGGGCCATGTTGGGGGTATCTTTTTACTTTTTGGGATATGTTTTGGGTATTTGTTACTTTTCGTCGAAGATCCCCCTGTAGGGGGACAGGCCCGACGTAAGGATAGCACAGAGGGGGGGGGGCGGTCGCCCCTCCATCGGCTCGAGCGCGGAGTGTCCCCCGGGGGCCTCCTGGCGCTGGAGGCGCCCGGCGGCGGGGCCGGAGCCGGCTGCGCGCCGCGGATGTCGTCACCCGCCCGTGCCCTACGGCAGGAGCTGGGCATCGCTCGGACGTCCATTCCCTGTGTTTTTTCGGTTTCGTGCGTGGCTTGTTCGCCTAATGATCAAGGGTGCTCCTCGAGGGTCCTCGCCGGAGGAAGAATGCACACGTCCGAGCGATGCCAAGGGAGCCCGACCTCGATAGACCTTCCCCGAGAAGCCCAACACTGAGACCCCAGGACGTCCATGGAGCTCCCCTTTGACTCCATGGGACCCCAGGACGTCCATGCCAGGGTGTGGCAACGTCACGCTCTCCACAGCAATACAATCGAAACCCAAGAAGCCCGCTACTGGAATACGCAGTGGTTGCGTTCCGGCGCGCTTGCACTCAGCCCGGGCATGTCTCCTGCATGGGTGTTCCTTGGCCTTCTCTCCTACAATCTTTTCTGCCGATGCGCCGTCTAGGTGCGGCTTCTTGCGTGCGTCCGTTTCCTACAGCAGGAGCCCGACCTCGAGAGACCTTCCCCGAGAAACCCAACACTGAGACCCCAGGACGTCCATGGAGTTTTGGTGTGGCGGCGTCACGCTTTCCACAGCAGAGCAATCGGAACCCAAGAATCCCAGGGCACCCTGGAGGCGAGCAGGGTGTTTCTTGGCATGGGTCTCCACTGCAATCTCTCGCACCGGATCATTTGTTGACGGCCCTGGGGTCCAATAAACGGCCTAACGTTAGCCCAGAATTACTTTTCCCCCGCGGCTGCGGCAGCTCTGGAGCTGCGATGCTTTAGTCTCTGTCGCCTACTATGATTCGCGTGATGTCGAGAGACGTGGCTGCAGCGATCTTGGGCGGGTCAGGCATGTATTCTTTTGCCCAAAAAGGTTTTCACAACAATGACAACTAGGACTCTTTTTATATGGATCGACATCGAAAGAAAACGCTGGGATTGAAACACCAGATTGTTGGAGACCTGGGAACCTGCCGATCTCGCCACTCTTGGAGGCGTGTTCTGACCAGGATCTCGATGCGAATCCAGCCGTGGAGCCTCCGGGGGGCCCCCCAAAGCGAAAACCAGGCCCGGGCAGCGGTATCGGTACCTTTGCAGGGGCCCTGGGACACACAAATAAATAGACACAAATAACAGGATCCCCCATATGTACCCTTGTTTTCTGGGTTTTCGTCTCCCCCCCCCACTTCCCATGTTTTCTCATATTTTCTGCGGAATCGACGATTACTTGTGTCTGTGTTTTTTGTTCCCCCTCCTGCGATCAGCACCTTCTCCTCCTCTGAGGCCAATGGTGTTCGGGTCGCAGCTCGGCCACCCGGCAACCGCTCGGAACGATTCTCGGGCACCCTTGCAACGCTCTCAGCGAGGCGCCGCGGAATGGCACCCCGAGGAGGGAAAGCTGCCGAGGATCAGTACGAAACGCCCTCGAACCTCGACGCTCGAAACTTCGGCCCCCTCGAAACCATCGGGGACGCGCTGGCCCCGGGGCAGCACAAACTCGGGAGCGGCCCAGAAGGAGATGTCCAAGAGGGGGGGTGCAAATCATGACGGGCGGCATGTGCGCGGCCCAGCGGGGGGGGCAGGGACGTAATGAAATAAGAAGAGGCGCCATAGAATCTGGGGAAATATCATGGCCTCCGCCATGGTATCCACCCCCCCTAGTCATCACCCCCCTCTTTTCCGCCCCCGACAAACCTCTGGATCAACCCAGGTCATGTTGCGAAGCCGGGCCTCCACTGAGTGGCTCCCAAGCCCTGGTCAGCGGACGGCAGGCAGGGGAAGTCGGCCCCACGTGGCTCCCAAGCCCAGGTCAACAAAAGGGGACTGGCTTAGGGGGCCACACGCGAACCCTACCCCTGCCCCCCACGATTTCTGAGGGAGCTCCCGAGCGAAATGAACCCCACCCTCCCCCTCAGAAATCGTGGGGGGCAGGGGTAGGGATCGCGTGTGGCCCCCCATGGCTGACGCCTGTTCGCTCAGCAGTGGGGGACGCGGGCTCCGAAGGACACGGGCCCTGGACCCAGGGGCCATCCCCCCAGGACGGACTTTTGTTTTCATCCCGAGTCGTGCTCCGACAGGTCCCAGGGCCGAGGGCCCCGAGAGCCTGGCCACGGCGAGGGACCTCGGGACCCGCTCCTCCCGTGGCGATTGTTGGCGCTGACCCCCCCGCGGCGCGAGCCCCGAAAAACCAGGCTCGGACCCTCCGCCGGCGCCCGAGTGCACGCGGCTCTCCGCCCCCCCCCTCCCGCCGAGGCCTGGGCAGGCCCCAGCGGCTGCGCGGCCGCGCCGTGGCCCGGCGGGCCCTGCAGGAGGGCCAGCTCCTCACCGGCGGCCTCGTCCAAAGTGCCCCCAATGTCCCTCCTGCTCCTGCTGCTGCTGCCGCTGCTCCTCCCCTACGGACTCCCTTTTCCCTCCTCCCTCCTCCTCTTCTTCCTCCTCCTGCTTCTCCTGCTTCTCCTGCTTCTCCTTCCCCTCCTCCCCCTCCTCCTCCTCCTCCTCCTCCTTCCCTCCTTCCTTCTCACCCTCCCTCGCTCACTTCCTCCTTCCCTCCTCCTCCTCTTCCTCCTCCCCTGCTCCTCCTCCTCCTCCTCCTCCTCCTCCTCCTCCTCCTCCCTCTTCTCCTCCCCCTTTTTCTTCTTCCTCCTCCCCGCTTCTCCCTACTCCTCCTCATCGGAAGTGGCGCGATCGCAGCTCCGTGGCTAGCGCGGGCCGCCGCCTAGATGGGGCGCCGACAGAAGCCGAATGCGCCCCGGGGAGGGGGAGGGGGAGGACGAGGAGGAGGAGGAGGACGAGGGGGAGGCGCAGGCCACTCCTCCGACCTTGCAGACGTGCTGCAGCTGATTTTTGCGTGGATGTTTGTCAACGCAAGACCCTGAAATGGCAAGCGAAAAGCGGCATGACTTTCACGTGGATGTAGGTTAGTCCTATTTCTGGTCAACACAATCCGCACGAAATTCACTTCGAAATCCGGAACGAAATTATCCAGGAAACTCTGGGCCCATCTCATTCCCCACATCCTCGGTGGGGTTATTGTTCTCCTAGACCACCCTCTCCTTCTCCGTATCATGATCCACCTTCTCCGCTTAATTCACATGCACCACGCCATACCTGCCACATCCTACCAATACCATACGTACTATGCTAGTGCGTACTATACTATACCCTGCCCTACCCTACCATACCATACGTACTATACTATATCAGACCTGCCATACCATACCTATCGTTTTACCTGCAATCCCCGACCATACCTTACGTACTACACTATACCATACCTGCCATACCACACCTAACGTATTCGCAACATACTACATATCAAGTTTCGTGCCCCTCCCACCCGTCCAGGGAGGCCCCGCCTGAGAAAGGCGGGTCTCCCAAAACCATACTATTTACATGGTGTCGTGCCCCTCCCAGCCCTCTAAACAGGCCCCGCCTGAGCGAGGAGGGTATCCCCAAACCATATCCTTTACACAGTTTCGTGCCCCTCCCACCCTTCTAGGCAGGCCCCGCCTGAGCGAAGAGGGCATCCCAAAACAATACTATGTACAAGGTGTCCTGCCCCTCTCAACCCTCCAGGCAGGCCCCGCCCGAGCGAGGAGGGCATCCCAAAACCATAATATTTAGACGGTGTCGTGCCCCTCCCACCCCTCTAGGGAGGCCCCGCCCGAGCGAGGAGGGTATTACAAAACCATATCGTTTACAAGATGTCGTGCTCCTCACACTCCTCCAGGGAGGCCCCGCCTGAGCGAGGAGGGTATCCCAAAACAATGTTATTTACAAACAAAGTTCCGTGCCCCTCCCACGCCCCTGGAGGAAGGCCCCGCCTGAGCGAGGAGGGTGCCCCAACACCATATGATGTACAGGGTGTCGTGCCCCTCCCACCCCTCTAGGCAGGCCCCGCCTGAGCGAGAAGGGTATCCCCAAACCATATTGTTCACACAGTGTCGTGCCCCTCCCACCCCTCTAGGGAAGCCCCGCCTGAGCGAGGAGGGCATCCCAAAACAATGTGATTTACAAAATTCCGTGCCCCTCCCACCCCTCTAGGGAGGCCCCGCCTGAGCGAGGAGGGTGCCCCAACACCATATTATTTACAAGGTGTCGTGCCCCTCCCACCACTCTAGGTAGGCCCCGCCTGAGCGAAGAGGGTTTCCCAAAACAATGCTGTTCACAAAGTTCCGTGCCCCTCCCACCCCTCCAGGGACGCCCCGCCTGAGCGAGGAGGGTAGCCCCAAACCATACTACTTACACGGTTTCGTGCCCCTCCCACCCCTCCAGAGAGGCCCCGCCTGTGCGAGGAGGGGGAGTTCGGCGGTGAGGAAGGGTTGCTGGTGATGATGGTATGGTCATGATGAAGGTGACGATGACGATGACGAAAACGACGACGACGGCGATGATGATGATGCTGATGCAGCTGCTGGTGATGATGATGATGCTGATGATGATCATGATGGTGCTGGTGATGACGACCGTGACGATGACGATGATGAAGATCACAACCATTATGATGATCGAAATGATCATGATGGTGATAATGACCATGATGGTTTAATGCTAATGAGCATGGCTATGCTGACGATGACGCGGCCGATGGTGATGCAGCTGACGATACTGCCTTCGTGATCCCGCCACCCCCGTAACATCCTTATGTGGGGAACTCCGTTAGAATCATAGTTTTCTGACAGAGATCCGCTCTGCGATGCTGGCGCCATGAGGAGGTGCAGCAGGAGTGCCATGTAGCGCTGATGCCCGTAAAGGTACGCATCACCCTTCATGTGTCGATTGGACTATCCCACCCTTGTAAGTCGGTGCTGGTGAAGATCTGTAAGCCCCATCTTATATCTAGCGGTGCAGCGTACCTTCCGATTGCACCTGACATGGTGGTTGGTATGCGTCCACCGCATGTCATGGGCAACCACCTCTCCCGTTTCAAACTTGTGAGAACCTGGTGATAATGTGAGTGAGTGTAGCTACTCAAGCCTGCCCGAACATGCAATTGAAGGACATGGTGTTGTATAAGATGGTGTGCACAATACGCGCTTGGGCGTGTGGCAAGTAAGTCTGCAGGACCGCCAGCATTGCCGCCATGCTGTGACCCGGAGGCCGTCACCAGAAAGGCTGGGGCGAGGCCGGCCGTACGTCTATAGACAAGGCCCGCGTCTTATAAGCAGGGTGCTTCTAAGAAGCCTTGTTTTATTCCCATACACCCCCTGCGCGTGGCCGAAAATACAGTCGCTGAGTCTTGCCGGAGAAAAAATGGACAGGTCCGAGCGATGCCAAGCGAAATGGGTGGATGAACCCAAACCCCCGACGTCATGAATTTTCCGCAAAACCGGCCCACACAAATCTCGAGGCCTCGACCCAATTCGGAACCGGCTTTTCATCTGGGGCCATTTTGTTGACAGCCCCGGGGCCTAGTTAAGGGGCCCCCAGGGCCCGAAAATAGCGAAACATCGGTCGTCTAGATATTTCCATAACACGACAGGGTGGGGACAGGGGGAAGGGAATGAGGAGCAGCAGCACCCTGAGGTCCGACAGTGCAAAACAACATCAATACAGCGAAGAATCACGACCGGAGCCCTAGAGCCCATCTTTCTCAGGCATTTCTCTGTGATGGCCCCTGGGCCCGTAATGAGGCGAAACTGCCCAGTGTGAAAATTGCACCGCCAGGACCTCAGGGCTATATGCCTCCTAGATGGGGTCAGAGTAGACGGGGTCGGAAGATCGCGCCGCACCGCCGATGCACCGGCGACGTGAGTGATGCATCGGGAGGCCTGGAGCAGCGGGAGGACGCCGGCTCCTCTGGCTCGTCCAGGCCGGCCGCCAACTCCTCGGCATCCGCGGCCAGGGCCCCGGCCCCCACGGCACCCGCGAGGCCGAGCAGCAAGGAAGCGGCGGCGAGCACAGCGGCTGGCGTGCCGCTGGGCGGGCGCCGTGCGCCAGAGGGCTGCATTGGGGGCGAGTCGGGGAGTCTGGCCAGAGTCTGGAGGACGGAGCCCGGGGGGCCCCTCCCCCAACCCGCTCGGCGAGAGGCCGACGACTGCTCGCGTGCTGCCAGAAGTGGCGCTGGCCCAAGGCGCTCCGGGCTTTCCAAACCATCTTGGGGCCTCCCGGGCCCGCTGGGCCTCGCGGGGGGTGCTCCGGCAGCCGTCCGCGCCTCCCTGGGAACGCTGGGGCCACCTTGAGCCAAGGCCACTTCGGTCAACAACCGGACCGTGGTGCGGGGGAGGACCGGTTCAGGGAGGGGTCGCGAAACGACGCGCTCCTGGGCGGGTTGGGCAATCGGGACCCCATCGGCGATCAATGGGCGGTTGCGGATCGCTGCGTTCCCCGCCCCGAGCCTATGTCCCCAAACGTTGCCCCTGGTGTGCCCAGGCGTCGAGGCGCCGTGAAGGAGAGGAGGAGGAGGAGGAGGAGGAGGAGGAGGAGGAGGAGGAGGAGGAGGAGGAGGAGGAGGAGGAGGAGGAGAGGTACAGGAGGAGGACAGGAGGGAGGAGGAGGAGGAGGAGGAGAGGGAAGAGGAGGAGGAGAGGGAAGAGGAGGAGGAGGAGGAGGAGGAGGAGGAGGAGGAGGAGGAGGAGGAGGAGAGTGTCTGGGCGTCTGGAGGGGTGCTGTCACCCGGTCTCGGGCCTTGAACGGCCCTCAAAGACCTTCCTGGCGCACGCGATCCCACGCACAGCTGCACATGGTGTCGGGAGCTCCGGCCGCAACTTCTGAACGACGTCGTTCCCCAATCAGTGCTCGCACTGAAGGGGCCCTCGCGGAAATTGAAAAGTTCGGCGAAAACTTCCGCCGATGTTGGTAGCAAGCTGGGTTCCCGGATTCCCGGTTCCGGGTTCCCCGTTAGTGGTCCCGGGCCGATTTCGGTGGGTTCTGGGTTCCCAGGCTCCCGGGTTCCCGGTCGATTGGGGTTTTCCTCTGGTGTAATTTCTATCTTTTCAAGACACCAGATGAACAGGAACAACAACATCGAGCGGGGTCCTGTTCAGGGTCCTCGCCTGGGCTCCCCTGGCCGCTGGCCCAACGCAGAGGGACTACGCAGCAGTCCAGCGGACAGGGTGGGCGCTGCCCAGCTCTGGTGCCTGGCGCGCAATTGCGGCATATACTGATACTTGGCGTCCCACAGGGTGGCGACCGAGTCCCTTCTGAATTGAATGGCCCACGGGGCCGCCTCTACAATTCAGCAGCCCAACGGGACTGGCTCCATTTCTCTGATGGGAACCAAGGGAGAAAGAGGCATGACTACGAAATGAACATATCAGGCTCCCGTTCCGCATGCGAATGACTGAGTGGCTTCAGACGCTGAGTGAGTTCAGGAAGGGACCCTGGGGAAACTGGGTCATCAAGAAGCTACTGGAAGCGGCCCCGAGGCAGTCTGGGGGCTCCTTCTCCCCCTCCTCCTCCTCCTCCTTCTCCTCCCCCTCCTCCTCTTCTGCCTCCTCCCATCACCTCCCCCTCCTCCTCCTTCTCCTCCTCCTCCTCCTCCTCCTCCAACTCCTTCTCCGCCTCCTCTTCCTTCTCCTCCCCCACGCAGCCACTCACGCTTCCTCTCATCCCCATGCGGATCGTCTGCTCGCCTCTTCTCGGTAGTCGTCGGCATCGCCGTGGCGCGTGCTGCTCCGCACGGGCCTGCTTCCCGCTTGCAGTGACCACCCACCTCCTCCTCCTGGTTCCTTGCTCCTGGCTCCTGGTCCCTGGAAGAAACATCGTTCGTAGCCTCTCCTCCTCCTACTCCTCCTCCTGCTCCTCCTCCTCCTCCTTCTCCTCCTGCTCCTCCTCCTCCTCCTTCTGGTTCCTGGCTCCTGGTCCCTGGAAGAAACATCGTTCGTCCTCTCCTCCTTCTCCTCCTTCTCCTCCTCCTCCTGTGGTCTCCGCTCTTGATGGTTCAAGCGTGTGGGGGGCAATTCGGAGTGTGCTGGGCCGCTCCGCAGCTTCTACCGTCTCCAGATGGGGCGCGCCAGTTGGCTCGGCCGCGCCCTCCATCGCTCGGGGCCTCCCCCTGCTCCCTCCACCCTGCACCCGTGGGCCCCGGGAACGGCAGGGCCGTCTTTTCACCGTTTCCAAAAAAATGCCCCTTGCAAATGGAAACGGCAAAGAAACGGCGACCGGAAACGGCAACAAAAACGGCTCCAGGATTGGAACCGGAGCCGGAACCAGTCAAACAACGGCGACGGAACCGGTAAAAAAGCGGCGTCGGAACCGGGAAAAAAACGGCAAAACGGAACCAATAAAAAAACGGCCCTGTCGTTTCCAGGGCCCACTAAGCTCCTGCTCCCTCCTCCTTCCCCTCCCCCTCCCTCCACCCTCCTCCTCCCCCTCCCTCCACCCTCCTCCTCCCCCTCCTCCTCCTCCTCCTCCTCCTCCTCCTCCTCCTCCTCCTGCCTCCTCCTCCTGCCTCCTGCCTCCTGCCTCCTCCCCCCTTCTCCCGCGCTGGCCCCCGACCTCCCCCCTCTGTGCTGTGCCACCCCGGGGCGGCCCAGCACCTCGGGCCCGCCAGGCTCCCTCCTCTCGGCGCCCCTCGGGGGGAGCTGGCGGCGGGGGCGGGAGGGCACGCGCCGCGGCCCCGTGGGACGGAGGCCGCGGGGCGACGCTCGGGGCAGACCCGAACCCGCGGGGATAGCGAGGCCCCTTCCACCCCCTCCTCCGCCTCCTCGTCCTCCTCCTGGTCCTCCTCCTCCACCCTCCTGCCCCTCCACCTCCCTCCTCCCCCCTCTCCTGCTCCTCACCCTCCTCTCTTCCATTTGTCCTCCGTCAACGCATGGGATCAGGAACCTCCCGGGGATCCCTTCCTCCTCCGCCCAGGGCGTGGGCATGGGGAAGACCAGGAGGAGGAGAGGAGGATGAGGCGGGGGAGGAGGTTGGGCAAAATGAGGCGGAGGAGGAGGCGGAGACGGAGGAATCAGAGAAGCGAGAAGGAAGACGAGAAGGATGAGAAGGAACGAGGAGGTCGAGGATGACAAGCAGGACATGTGAGATGAGCTAAAAAATGGTGATTGATGAAGAAGAACACATGGGATGGGGGAGGAGTCGGATGAGGGGAATCACGACGAGGACGAAGGAGAGAGCCAAGGAAGATCAGACGGAGGAGGACAGCGGCAAATGACAAACACAACAATAAGGTGCTGCTCATCCCGCCGCCACGAAAAGACGAGCCAAAGAGGAAAGGCAATCCCTCCCCATCCTCTCCCCTCCTTAACCCCCCTGCATCCTGCCTCCCCTCCTCCGCCTACCCCCCCCTCCCCTCCCTCCCTCTCACCACCCCTATCGGGCCTCAAGGGAGTAGAAACACAAACTGCATGACCATACACTTTCGGAGCTCTGCGCCATTTTCCTGGATCGTCGCTGGACCCCCCTGCCTGGCGCGCGGAGGGCAGGGGCGCCGGAAGCACCATCCAGGGAGCCCGGCGCAGTCCAAGAAATCCGCGCGGAGCTCCGAAGGTGCATGTTCATGTAACTGCCTCATCGTCGATCAAGAGGGTTCAGACACCTCACTTTCCCCGCAGAATGCTCGCTGCCCCGAGGATAAATACGGAATGCCGGGACTAGTGCTCGTGGAGATCGCGTTGCGGCAGCGCGCGGGGTGGGGGATTCCCCGCGACGCTCCGAGCCATGACGGCTGCGGGTGCGACGTCTCGGCCACCGCACCTCGTGCTCGACCAGAGGACAGGGCCCTCCTCGTCCTCCTCTGTATCAAATGATTGCTCCTCGGCCTCCTCCTCCTCCGTCCCATCATCGTCGTCCTCATCTCCCTCCGCATCATCTCGCTTCCTACTCCTCCTCTGCCCAGCCCCTTTCCCTCATCATCCCACACCGTCAGCATCATCATCATCATGATCCTCACCCTCATCCTCACCCTCCTCATCCTATCCATCCTCCGCATTATCATCCCTATCCCCACCCTCATCATCATCACAATCATTGTTACCATCGCTATGACCATGAGCATGACCATGAGCACGGCCATAACAATGATGCTGCTGATACTGATGATGATGATGGTGATGCTGATGCTGATCATGCTGCTAATGATGATGATGATGAGGAGGAGGATGATGATGATAAGGGCGATGAGGATGGGGGTGATGAGGATGACGATGATGATGACGAGGATGATGATAATGATGATGATGACGACGAGAAGGATGATGATGATGATTATGATGATGTTGATGATGATGATGATGACGATGCTGATGCTGATGCTGATGATGATAATGACGATGGTCATGATGATGCTGATGATGAGGTGAACGATGGTGAAAATGAGTGGAGGGACGATGATGATAATGCCGAGGACGATGACGATGTCGATGACGATGATGATTACGATAATTCTGATGATGCTGATAAGGGTGAGGAGGATGGATGATGATGATGATGATGATGCTGATGATGATGATAATGATAATGATGATGATGATGATGATGATGTTGATGATGATGATGAGGATGACAATGACGATGATGCTGATGTTGAAGATGAGGAGGAGGAGGAGGAGGAGGAGGAGGAGGAGGCAGAGGGGGGGGGGGAGGGGGATGGGGGGGAGGATGAAGGGAAGAGGGAGGGGGGGGGGAAGGGGAGGAGGGAGGAGAAGGATGATGATGATGATGATGAGGAGGAGGAGGAGGAGGAGGAGGAGGAGGAGGAGGAGGAGGAGGAGGACGAGGAGGAGAGGAGGAGGAGGAGGAGGAGGAGGAGGATTTTTTTTGGGGCTCCTCCATGGGACGCCGATCATGCCAGCTACGGGGGTGCACTACGCACTGGACTCACTCCCATGAGTGAGGAAACCAAGATCCTGGAGCGCCCAGCTGTCGAGGACGACCTCCTTCCTTCCCGTTCTGGGGTGGAGGCCCCGGTCGAAACGGCTCCGCCGTTCCTTGCCCATTTTGTCCAGGACAAAACCAGGCCGTCTGGCAGGGCACGTCTTGGCCAAGCCGACGGGATGCTGCTGCGCATACTGTGCGCATTGGACACAGTACAGCATAAAGTCACCCTGATCGGGTGGGCGGCCCCTGGGGCCAATCACCACCCCCCACAAAACATGTGAGCCCGCGAATTCACGCAGGCTCCTCCAGCTCTTGGGCGCCTCGCGCCCACATTCTGAGGCCATGCCAGCCTTCCAGCTCCGAAAGACGTGCAAGCACTGAACGCACCGCCAGCGGCCATCGGCCACCTCGTGCAGCTCGTGCTGCAGAAAACACGGCCTCACGGCCATCGGTGGCCGAACGCGCGGGGGCAGGTGAGCCCACTCCGCCTTGGGAGCAGGCCCACACGCCAGCACCCGCCCCAGATTCACCAGTCCACGCCGCGCCTCTGCGCAGGCGTCTTCCAGGGTGGCCTCGTCTTGGGCCCGCCTGGGCCAAAGGTTGAGAGCTTCCTTGGCCGCTTCGTCGGCCCACGAGTTGAGGACGATCCGCCACTCACCCTCAGTCTGAGGGGCGGCCGGCACGTCCTGGTGAGACTTTACCTTCACCCCCGCACTGTACGCGAGGTCGCCGCGTCGAACGCGGCGCCAGTGCCCAGCATCACGCCAAGCTGGGCTAGAGGTGCACGCGCACCCGCGCGCTCGAGCGGCCAACACCGCTGCATTGTCGCCAACATACGGCTGGCTACCGTCGGCATAATCGGCCGCTCTGCAGTATGCTTGCAGCTCGGCAGCGTGAGCGGAGGTAGGGAGCTGACAGGTGAGGGAGCCTACGAGCTTGCGAACGATCCCGTCCCTCCCCCGCTGCACCACCGCCCATCCCCCACGACGGGGCTCCTCGAGGGCACTGGTGGAGGCAGACCCGTCACCCGCGAGAGGCTGGTGAGGTTCAAATTCAAAATCATCCAGTGGCACGGGTTCGTCTCCTACGAACGCTCGCACGATCATCTTCGCTGGCGTCGCGGGCAAGGCCACCGAGGGCCTGACGGGCACCGAAGGCACCCTGGGACAGAAAGGGCCGATGTTATCTTCGCCCCCCTGTTCACTTTGCTGGCGGCGGGGAGGAGGAGGGGTCACTTTCTCATGGCCCTCAGCAAAGGCCGCACACAGTCCGAGGCGGTGCGCCAAGTCATCACGCACCCCGCAGTGCCTGCAGGTGCCCGCGCTCTCGTCGTAGCCCCACTCGACCATCTTGGCGCCCGTGAGGTAGGTGCCCCCCACGACGGAGGCGATGGCCCACTTCTCCAGCGGGGTGAGGTGCTTGCTGCCAAGGGTAGCCGCGATCACCTCCCACCAGACCTCAGGCAGGGCCTCCTCGTCCAGGTTCTCTCGGCGCCTCACGCTGTCCGTGGCGCGCTCACGGACCCTGTCCAGCACGTCGCGCAGGTAGAAGTACTCCATCCTCTTGGGGGCGTGCTCGAGGGCCGAAAGGCGGCCAAACCGTGGAGACACGAAGACCGTCGCACTCTCCACCGACCAGCCTGCTACCACGGTTGCCTTCAGCGCTGCTCCTATTGGCCCTGCCTCATGAGCCCCGTTCTGGTTGTCCTGGAGGGCTTGCTCGTAGACCCTGCGCAACGTCGTGACGGGCAGCACCTTGCCGTGGCGATGCCTGTCGTCGGTTGCCCTCCACCATTCTTCTAAGTAGCGGCCCAGGGGCATGAAGGCGGCCTTGCCCAGGGGGTCGATCTCGGGGTACATGGCGCCAAAAACGTCTGGCGACATGTGGATGTGCCCGTAGACCTGCTTGGTGATGCGCCTCATGCCGTCGAGCTCCTGGACCGTGAACCCGCTGACCTCGCCTCCCCACTTCTTCATGGGCAGGATGGCCGTGTGCAAAATGCGGCGGGTTTGCCGATATGCCTTCATCGCTCGGAATGCCATATCTAATCTTTTCTTTGCTACCTTCCACAGCTTTCCACGCACAGGTCCAGGGTGGATGTCGCGCACGACGCTTCCGTGCCGACGGCGGCCTGCCCGAAAGTCAGCTCCAAGATGGCGCACCGTCGCCGGTGGGCGGTGGGGTCGGGCCCCGCGCCGCGGCGCCCTCGGGGGCCTCGCCGCGGCGGTGGTGTGCTCAGGCTTCGGCAGGCCCAAGCTCGCCAGCCTGCGCATGCCCTCCGTGGTGACCACGTCGCCGTTGCCCAGGATGGTGCCCTTCGCGTCGGCAACCTGCATCTGGAGCTCGTCGTGCATGGCACTCTTGAGCCCGCGCGCCGCCTCCACCATGAGGTCCACGCAGGCGTCCGCATTGTCGGCGACGACCTCCTGGCTGATGTCGTCCACGTGGACCGCGATCCCGACCTGGGGGTGCTCGGTCGCCTGGGCCCTCAGCTCGTCCACCAGGTACGCCTGCAGGGCGTATGTGGCTGAGAAGCACCCCGCGACGATGCCATTCTCAGGGTGCAAGCTGTCACCCGCCAGGCCGTCCAGCATGAGGGCGCGCCTCCAGCGGGAAGCGCCGATGACCACACGCAGCGCGTGCAGGGGGAACTGCTCGGCGCAGCCCAGGCGGCACAAGATCTTGTGCGAGACTTTCTCGAAAGCCTTGGCCAGGTCCCAGAGCAGGATGAGGGAGGCCCTCTCCTCGCCAGTAGCATCTTCTGCTCTCGCCGCCGCGCGCCACACACAGTCGGTGACCTTGCGCGAAGTGCCCGTGTTGAAGATCCCCCTCTCGTCCAGCGCGTGCTGCCGCTGCTGCAGAGCTGGCTTATGACATCGTCCCCATATTCGGTAGAGGCTCTTGAACTGGCCAATGGGTCGGCGCCCTCCAGCGGGCTTGAGATACTGCGCCGTGAGCATCTCTTGCTCGTCCGTGGGGAAGACGCCTGCTTCTGTGAAGATGTTCGAAGAGGGGGAGGAGGAGGAGGAGGAGGAGGAGGAGGGGGATGGGGGATGGGGGATGGGGAGGGGGAGGAGGAGGAGGAGGAGGAGGAGGAGAAGGAGGAGGAGAAGGAGGAGGAGGATGAGGAGGCGGAGGAGAAGGAGGAGGAGAATGCTGGGAGAATGCTGAAGGGTGCCAGTCAGCAGCGAAGCCACAGCTGGACAATTACACCCCCCCCCTCGGGGGGCGGCTCTCGATAGCACACTATCTCCGAGACTTGGGTTTCAAAAATGACTTGATGACACTCGACCCTCCTCAACTTGGAGGCGCCCAGCTCCCTTGTCATTGGGCCACTTATTGCCCTTTGGTGGGAGCCCCTTGCGCAATCTACTAAGATAAGTATCTCCCGAGGGGGTGGTCCATTCTCGGCACGGCTCCGCCAGGGGCAAGAGACGGCCCCCCCCGTTCACCACGGTGCCCAGACTGGCGCATTTCCAACACCAAACTTGCCCGTTACGCATGGCCACGCAATGGGAGGGGTGGACATGCTTGTTGGCCGTCCTTAACTCCGTGGTCACAGGGCGGGGCACAAGCACAACATTATCATTCTCGCTCAAGTGCCGATGGGTGGGGCCCCCCTTACAGCGGTTATCTTCGAGCCCGAGCCAGTCCACAAGCGACGACCCAGGAGGCGGACCCAGACGGCACCGACGGCACAGCCACGCCCCATTGGGCAAACGCCCCAAATGGTGGCCCGACGCCCGCTCGAGCTCGACAACCCGCCTGGAAGCTGCCCCCCCTCCCCCCTCGGGAGTCCGTGCACACTGCTCGCGGTCCTGCGACGCGAGCTCCCTGGTCACCGCAGCCAG